ACCCGAAGAGTATGCACCTGAGTGAAAGACGTATATCTTTGTTTCTATTAATAATTTGGACTTGAGTCCTGAAGAAGAATTGTGTATATTTACGATAGGAACCCAACACAACTCGTATTTCAGCATGCCCATAATGTATTCAAAATTTAAGCCAATCTCCGTAACACGGTTGATTTAGTAAACCTAAAGAGTATGCACCTGAGTGAAAGACGTATATCTTTGTTTCTATTAATAATTTTGACTTGAGTCCTGAATAAGAATTGTGAATTTTTACGATAGGAACCCACGCAACTCGTATATCAGCATTCCCATAATTTATTCAAAATTTAAGCCAATCTCCGTAACACGGTTGATTTAGTAAACCCGAAGAGTATGCACCTGAGTGAAAGACGTATATCTTTGTTTCTATTAATAATTTGGACTTGAGTCCTGAAGAAGAATTGTGTATATTTACGATAGGAACCCAACGCAACTCGTATTTCAGCATGCCCATAATGTATTCAAAATTTAATCCAATCTCCGTAACACGGTTGATTTAGTGAACCTGAAGAGTATGCACCTGAGTGAAAGACGTATATCTTTGTTTCTATTAATAATTTGGACTTGAGTCCTGAAGAAGAATTGTGTATATTTACGATAGGAACCCAACGCAACTCGTATTTCAGCATGCCCATAATGTATTAAAAATTTAAGCCAATCTCCGTAACACGGTTGATTTAGTAAACCCGAAGAGTATGCACCTGAGTGAAAGACTTATATCTTTGGTTCTATTAATAATTTGGACTTGAGTCCTGAAGAAGAATTGTGTATATTTACGATAGGAACCCAACGGAACTCGTATTTCAGCATGCCCATAATGTATTCAAAATTTAAGCCAATCTCCGTAACACGGTTGATTTAGTAAACCTGAAGAGTATGCACCTGAGTGAAAGACGTATATCTTTGTTTCTATTAATAATTTGGACTTGAGTCCTGAAGAAGAATTGTGTATATTTACGATAGGAACCCAACGCAACTCGTATTTCAGCATGCCCATAATGTATTCAAAATTTAAGCCAATCTCCGTAACACGGTTGATTTAGTAAACCTGAAGAGTATGCACCTGAGTGAAAGACGTATATCTTAGTTTCTGTTAATAATTTGGACTTGAGTCCTGAAGAAGAATTGGGTATATTTACGATAGGAACCCAACACAACTCGTATTTCAGCATGCCCATAATGTATTCAAAATTTAAGCCAATCTCCGTAACACGGTTGATTTAGTGAACCTGAAGAGTATGCACCTGAGTGAAAGACGTATATCTTTGTTTCTATTAATAATTTGGACTTGAGTCCTGAAGAAGAATTGTGTATATATACGATAGGAACCCAACGCAACTCGTATTTCAGCATGCCAATAATGTATTCAAAATTGAAGCCAATCTTCGTAACACGGTTGATTTAGTGAACCCGAAGAGTATGCACCTGAGTGAAAGACGTATATCTTTGTTTCTATTAATAATTTGGACTTGAGTCCTGAAGAAGAATTGTGTATATTTACGATAGGAACCCAACACATATCGTATTTCAGCATGCCCATAATGTATTCAAAATTTAAGCCAATCTCCGTAACACGGTTGATTTAGTAAACCTGAAGAGTATGCACCTGAGTGAAAGACGTATATCTTTGTTTCTAATTATAATTTGGACTTGAGTCCTGAAGAAGAATTGTGTATTTTTACGATAGGAACCCAACACAACTCGTATTTCAGCATTCCCATAATGTAACACCCCCATTTTCCCACCCAAAACGTTGATATATTTTAAATAAATACTTTATTCATTCATAAAAGAGTTAAAGAAATACAACGGAAGTCTAAAATAGGGAAATGGGTGTTACCGCCACATCCGGTCATCTCTCAACCGGATGCACAAGCAACTAGAACATAACAACTAATTTAATAAAAGTAAAGTGTTTGAAAAGTAAATGTTTATTTCATGACTAGTATAACTAAGGCGACTTCTAACTCGCTCTCGGCCATGCAAGCAATCATCACTCGACAACATCATCCTCACCTGCACAAATAAAGTGCAGAAACAAAACAAGGAAAAGAAAACAAAAATTAGCTTTAGAGCTAAGTAAGTACTACCCAACCCCGTAAAATAATCATGTTTGACTAAAATAGATTTTTATATAATAATATATAAAAAATACTCACACCATCGAAATTCTTTTCACTTTGATTTTTATCAAGACTACTTCTTTACAACAATCCTCAACTTCTCTATAAAACTTCATAATAACTCTTCTCTTTGATTTCCTCAAAAATCACTTCTTCTCTAACTTCCTAGTAATTTAGAAGGGCGGTGCTCAACCTTTCGGTAGAGCCCGGTGGACCGTGGTTACGGACGGCCACCCCGAACAAATGCCGGTACCACAACTGCTCTGTTGGAAACGAAACGACTACCTTAAGTGTGCACACCCCCTAAAAGGGATTCCAAGCCCTCCGAGTAGTAAGTCGTAACGAGTAGTCGGGACTCAGTCTACCAACTACCCCTGAATAAGATATCTTGAATGATTAGGGACTACTACTACCATAACTTCTTCTTAAAAGGGATCATCGATCCAAATATCACTTTAAACTCAAACTGTACTTCTTAGTAGTAGCAAACCTAATCACCCTCCACATTTATCCGGACGTGGAAAACCGACACCACGGATTTCTCCCGTGGTGCTCACCTCTTATGAAATCATTCTTTTATCTTGAATTAATATACTTCAAAATATTTCTCAACTTCTCAAACTGCTTTAAAAATATTTAGATAAAATATTTACCCCCAAAAGCACTTAGTTCCACGAATCATCTCAGAAACTTACCTCTAGTCCGGGTGCTCCTAATTCTCTTCTTCTACTCCGGTCTCTAAATAATCACCTTTTTAATTAAGATGATATAATTAGTCACTTACTCTTTAATAATTATTTTACTCGATTTTTACCCTTTTATTTTATTTTTCGAATTCACTAATTCAATTATTTTATTATCTGCGTTAATCACTTCTTATTAATTAAATTACCTTATTAATTCAGTCGTTAATTAAAATACTTAAATACGAATATAATTAATTACAATATCAAATTTCTAATTTAATAATCATGTTTTTATTTAATCAACTCCTAAAGCATTTGGTATGTCTTAATATTATATCCGAATTATTTTTAATCTAACTAATCAAATATCGAAATTAGTTCATATTAACATTATTAGCATTAATAAATCCGAATTAGCTAAAATATTTTGATTTTATTAATTACTTAAATACTTAATATTTTAAAGTCCGTAATTATGCAAATTTTATAATACTCTACCTTAATTAGTCCAATAATTAGTGAAAACAAAATCTACCAACTTATTTAATCTAATTATGATACCAAGTCCAAATAATTATTTTAATATAATATTCTTTAATGAATATTAAACTATAAATTCATTTCATCGATAATAAAAATTTTATTATTTAATTACTTAATTAGCTTTATATGGTCCAATTTAATAAAATAGCCAAGAGTCGACTTTATAAATTAATAACCGTCCATAACTATATTTTGGTTCTACATTTGGCTTAGGTTGTCCAATTATTTATTTTATAATTCATTTTCCTTAATTATTCATTTATTTTCGTATATCAAATAACCGGTCCATTCACAATTAAATATACTAATATTAATTTTTTATTAATTAAAAATGGTCCATAATGTCTTAGTTAGTATTATATTTATCCTAGTTTACTCCAATATTTATTTCATAATTAATTTCGCCATTTACTTATTTATTTACTAATTGTGTACAAATTGGCCCAATTACCATTAAATCAATTAAAAATAGCTAAAAATATTATTTTTCAATTCTGGTTGGTCCGAACATGTATAATTACACCAGGTATTTAATTTATATTTTTCCAGATTTTATTTATTTCATTTACTATTTTATTTTTTATTTTTATTGCAACTGGGCCGAACTGGCCCAAATTTAATTCTTCTGGCCCAAAAAAATCAGGCCCACAAGACATTTGGCTGGGTGACTGGGTCGTCTCCCCCAGTGAAACGCCGGAAAAACGGGGAGGGAAAAGAAAAAAACGTGGAAGAGGCTTACCTCGTCGGAAACGGCCAACGGGGTAGCGGTGCACTCCTCTCGGGACGGCGAAGGCCGGTGAAGGGTTGGCGGCGGCGACGGCGGCTCCTGCTCCTCCGTTTTCTGTCGGGAAAGTTTTCCGGCGAAAACTCCGGCGAGCGTTTTCTCCCTCGTTTCACGACCGTTTTCAATGATTCTTCCTCCGTTGGATTCCTCTCACGAAGGGGAAGGTCTGGGAAGCGTTTTCAGGGCTCGGATTTGTTTTTTTTTTGGCGTCAATCAGTTGTGCCAGATGAGTGTGCCGGTGTTCATATATATACATGTAGACATTGCACTTCTCCGTCTGTTGGTTGCTGACGATGGTCCGTTTATGGACCTTCATTATCTTCTTAATGGTGTTAATAACCATCTTATTAATTCTTCAGCCCGTTATATATTTTCATGTGTTATTATGTTATGTATGCATGCGTATGAAGTATATGTATGTATTATGTATGTCATATATAAGTAATTAAGTACGGAGTATATATATATGTATTATGTTGTATAGTACGCCGCATGCATCATGCATGATCAGTGGCGGAACCAGGACACGTGACTCGCAGGGGCACAATTAACAAAGAAATGATATAGTAGTCTAGAAAAAAAAATCATAGGCATCACGAATATAGCAATAAACAAAACTATAAAATTAAAATAAAACAACTACTTAAAGAGTACCTTAATTTTGATTAGAACCTGACGCGGCAAATGAAGGACAATCATTGAGAGGCGGCAATCTTTGTCTTCGAGGTGCCATACTCTGAAATCGCCTCATTATGACTTCATTCTCAATTTTAACAAATACATCTTTCTCAATGTAACACACCAAGCAATCTGTCAAGTATTCTTCTCCAATCTTGTTGCGCAAATCATTCTTGATAAACTTCATCGTCGAGAAAGATCTTTCAACTGTGGCGGTTGTAACGGGTAAAACCAATGCCAATTGGATGAGTCGGTACACTAACTTATAAGTTGTGTGCCACTCTGTTTCAACCAATGTTTTTGCCAAATCTCCAATACTTTGTAGGCCTGAAAATCGTGGAGATGATTTGACAAATGTAATGAACATCCTAAGTTGTTCATTTAGTTCAAATTTTTCTCTTGAACTAAAATCATCTGGGTATAGATTAGCAAGACGAAGTAGTCGCTTCACATCAAAATTGGAGAATGAATCTTTGGGACTTAACGATGCTATGCACATTAGTAGCTCTGAACTTGACTCGGTAAAGCGATTATTCATCTCTTGAATAAGACGATCAATAACCTAACATTATATTAAAAAACGTAATTAATTACAATAACAAAATAAATAAATTTAAATACAATTACGTAAGGAATAAAACTTTTAAAAGTACCTCGAGAAAAATGTCAACATGAAAATAGTGATAATAAGTTTTCGGACTACCATCAATTGTCTTCTGCCTTTTCACTCGTCCTGGCTTTACATCCATCATATTAGGTACATCAATATCATGTTTTGAACAAAATGTAGCCACTTCTTCAATCAACAAATCCCAACCATAATCATTCCTATATTTCTCCAAATCGGTTTTGACGGTCTTGACAAGATCCACAACATTGCCTATGTTTTGATTTTTTTGTTGCAATTCCTTTGATAGCACATTAGTTTTTCCCAATAATTGCAACATGAAATGCGCAATGAACACAAAATCATAGGATGACATTTTTTCAATCAAACTAGAAGAAGTGGACTTACTTTTGAGATCAACACCATCATCAAATATAGCTTCAAGCACCTCAATGACCGCATCCCACATATCAACAACTCTAATGATTGTTTTATAATGGGAACCCCAACGAGTATCACCCGGTCGTGCTAGACTTTTTTCTTGATTTTTCCCCTTCCCCGTGCTAACCTCACCACGTTCTATACGGGCTACAAGATCCTCATAATGCTTTTGTAAAAGATCATCTTTTCTCTTACATGATGCACCAACCACATTTACAATCATGATGAGATGATCAAAAAAACTACCAACTATTCCATTGCTCTTCAAAGAGGACACAATCACTAATTGAAGGCGATGAGCAAAACAATGAACATAATGTGCTTGCTTATTTTCCTCCAAAATTTTTTGTTTTAAGCCATTAATTGCACCACTCATATTGGAATCCCCATCATAACCTTGGCCTCGAACCTTAGACATCGAAAGACCATATTTTGTAAAAAAATCATCAATGGCATTTTTCAATGTCCGCGCACAAGTGTTACTAACATGCACCACTCCCAAAAATCGCTCAATTACCTCCCCACAATTGTTAACAAACCTTAAAACCACAGACATTTGCTCTTTTATGGAACTATCTCGAGCCTCATCAATCAACAAAGAGAAAACATTGCTACCAACCTCATTAATAATAGCTAGTCTTACCTCAGTTGCACAAGCATTAATAACGTCCTTTTGAATTTTAGGAGAGGTTAGTTGACTATTCCCGGGAGCATTTGACTTCATTACCATATCAATATGTGGATGCCGTCTACACTCCCATTTCAAGAGTTCAAGAAAATTACCTGTAAATACAAATAATGCAATTATGCAAACATGCAATAGTCATTAGAATTTTATAATGAAATAAGTAATAAAAAATAATGAAAATAATCTAATAAAATTTACCAGAATGCGTAGAAGTAGTTGATTCATCATGACCTCGAAAAGCCAAACCACCCTCTAAAAGGAATCGAACTACATCAACAATAGTTGTTAATCTTGCACGGTACTCAAGCTCATCTTTTATGGTTTGTTGTGAATATACATAATCCACATTTTGCTTTTGGTTTTGAAACCCGGACCATTTAATTTTTGCATAATGATGCATGCTTTCTAGACTTCCTTCGTGGTCACGGAATTTTTCCTTAGCTTTCTTCCAGTTATTAAACCCAACTTCAGTAAAAGCATCATCTCCATTTTTATGATGTCTACCAAACAAATAACACAAATGGCAAAATGCTGCATCTTTAGCAACACTATACTCCAACCAATTAAATTCATCAAACCACTGTTTTTGGAATGATCTGTTGCGCCCATTAAAATCACTTTGTGGAAATTTAAAGTCACGCGGTTGGCAAGGACCTTTTGTCAAATAACGTCTCCTCAATTCATCTCTAATATTAACATCATAAGTCTCAATCGGCTTACGCAATCCAGGATCACCAACAATGTCATCATCCGACAATTCAATCTCTATTCGAGCTTTTTTAACATTACTCTCATTGTTAGGAATGACATTTTCCGATGAAGAAATTAAATTATTCGATGAAGAACCACCAATGATAGGCTGTTTCGGTTTCGGCGGAATTGCCGAAAAATATCGTAACATAGCCATTGTTTGTAACACAACCTAGACCAACTACAATTGAAATTTGAAATAATATGAGTATAATTTTTCAAAATTGAACAATTAAAGTATTCAACATTTAAACCATAAGTGATAAGTCACACAACATATACGAATCAATGATTCAATAAAACATAAATCATTCATCAACAACACAACAAATCAACAATTAAAAAAAAATTAAAACATACCTTCGGCCTTCGGGCTTCGGCAATCGGCACTGGCCGCACTGCGTGACTCACGGGCGGACCGGGCGGTGGTCGGTGGAATTCCTGGCGTGGCCGGCTGGCCGCGTGGCGGCGTGGCGGACTGGCGGCGTGGATGGAGGAAGTTCCTGGCGGCTGGCGTGGATGGAGGAAGTTCCTGGCGTGGCATGGGCGTGGGCCACAGGGCCAGCGGTGGGCGCAGGCGCGCAGCCTGAGTCGCCGGGTCGGGAAAGCCGGAAAGGCAAAAAGGGGGGAGGGAGTGGCCGATTGGGGGAAGCGGGGAAGTGGGGAAGTGGGAAGACTGGCCGAAGTGCCGAACGATTTGGGAAAGGGGGGCCAGGGGGGAACGGGAATGGGAAAGGGCCTAGGAACGGGAAAAGGGGATTTGGGCCGGAAAAGGGGAAGGGGAATTGGGATTGGACTTGGACTGCAGGGGCCCAACTTAAAAAAAATTAATAATATATATATATATATTTAAAAAAAAATCATTGGGGGGGCCCGGGCACCCCCTAGCCCTAGGGTGGGTCCGCCCCTGTGCATGATGTATGTTTGGCATGTATGCAATCGAGTGTGCTTAGTTACGTAGGAGTAAATATTATTTACATGTGTAGTATAGTCTACATATTATGTAATTAGGTGTATCATTTCTACTTTGTTTTATTTTCACCATGTATCTTTATCAGATAAATTATATCTGGTTTGTTTTTATCAGATATTTTATATTTGTTTTATTTTTATTTTATTTTAACTTTACGTTTCTATTTTAAAATTTTAAGGTGTCACATTCCATCCCCCTTAAAGAATGCTTCGTCCTCGAAGCATAAGCTACAACTGTTTTATTAATACTGGTGTTTTAAACTATACCCCTTTAAAAGGTGCGTAGTCCCAGAGCTTAAACTTAAGTCAAATGATAAAATTCTTAAGTATTACATTCCACCCTCCTTAAAGGGTTGCTTCGTCCCCGAAGCAAGGCTAAGATACAAGTATGAATTACCAAGTATTATAGGCTACCCGTAGAAGAGATGTTACGTCCCTGCAATTAAGCACTACCTTAATCAAATAGTTGAGGGTAGCGTTTGCGCATATCATCCTCAGTTTCCCAGGTGGCGTTTTCGGCCAAGTGGTTAGACCATAACACTTTCACCATCTTAACCGCTTTTCTTCTAGTCTCACGGGTCTTGGTGTCCAAAATCTGTATCGGCCTCTCCTCGTATGTTAACGATTCATCCAACTCGACCACCTAAAAAGTCGAGGTTAGATGGGATACCTGGATCTAATTATCATAAGGTTACGATTCGTACCTCGGGGCTAAGAATATGGGATTCGTCGCGGACATACTTCTTCAATTGGGAGATATGGAAAACATTGTGTACCTACGCATAGCACACTTTAGGATTTGAGAGATATCTACTAAGGTATTCACTTAACGAGCGGTTATAGTATGTTATACCTTAGCCAACTCGGTGGGTAGAGCTAGCCGATATGCCACTCTTCCCACTCGCTCGAGGATGTCATATGGGCCAATGAACCTCGGGCTTAGCTTTCCCTTCTTTCCAAACCTCATTACTCCCTTGGTTGGGGAGACTCTGAGTAGGACTTTTTCTCCCGCTTCAAATTCTGCTGGCTTCCTTCTCAGGTCTGCATAAGACTTCTGACGATCTTGTGCAGCTTTCATCCTTGCTTGAATCGTCTTCACTTTCTCTATGGTGTCTTGGAGGTAATCCGGCCTTAACACCACTTGATCTTCCATGTCACCCCAGCATAGTGGGCTTCTACACTTTTGACCATATAGAGCTTCGTACGGGGCCATTTTGATACTGGCGTGGTAGCTATTGTTGTACGAAAACTCTATTAAGTCTAAGTGTTCGTCCCACGACCCTTGTAGGTCTAACATACATGCTCTCAGCATGTCCTCGAGTGTTTGGATGGTTCGTTCCGTCTGACCATCGGTCATCGGGTGAAAGGCAGTACTCAGCTTCAGCCTCGTCCCCATGGCGGCTTGCAATTCCTTCCAGAATTGAGATAGAAATCTAGAGTCACGGTCAGAAATGATGTCTTGTGGAACTCCATGGTACTTAACCACGTGTCTGATGTAGGCTCGGGCTAATTTCTCCATGCTCCATGTTTCGTTCATTGGGATAAAGCGAGCGGTCTTTGTTAACCGATCAACTATGACCCAAACCTTGTCTTTGCCAGACTTGGTTAGGGGTAAGCCCCCAACAAAGTCCATGGAGATGGAATCCCACTTCCACTTTGGTACTTCCAAGGATTGTACGAGTCCCTTGGGCTTGCAACGTTCGGCTTTCACCTTCTGACAGTTTAAGCATCGGGCCACGAACTCGGCTACCTCTTTCTTCATCTTTGGCCACCAAAAATTCTTTTTGATGTCTCTGTAGAGTTTATCGCCCCCAGGGTGTACCGAGTAAGGCGTGTTGTGCCCTTCCTCCAGAATTTTCCTTTTAAGTTCTTCACATTTCATCGGAACACACCACCTTCCTTTGTGTCGAATGCTCCCGTCTTCGTACAGTTTGAACGGACCGTTCACGCCATTTGTCATACCTGCTCGGATTCGGTCTAGCTTTATGTCTCCAGGCTGCCCTTCACGAATTTCGTCGAAGATAGATGGGGTAACGGTCATGGTGAGTAACCGTGTTTCCCGCTCTACCTCTCCGAAATCCCGAACTTCCAAGTCTAGTTTTTGAAAGTCCCGGTAAAGTTCATCAGGTAGTACCCATGCTGCTTTGAAGGAGTGGGTTGATTTCCGGCTCAGCACATCGGCAACTACGTTTGCTTTGCTTTCATGATATTGGATCTCCAAGTCATAGTCCTTGACGAGTTCTAGCCAGCGTCTCTGTCTCATGTTAAGCTCCTTTTGGGTGAAGATGTACTTCAGGCTCTTGTGATCGGTGTAAACTTTACAGTGTACCCCATAGAGATAGTGCCTCCACAGCTTTAGAGCAAAGATAACCGCTGCCAGTTCTAAGTCATGAGTCGGATAGTTGACCTCATGTGTCTTTAGTTGCCTTGATGCATAGGCCACCACTTTGCCATTTTGCATCAATACGCAACCCAACCCTTTTAAACAAGCATCGGTGTAGATCTCGAACCCCTCGGTACCGGACGGTAGGGTCAAGACAGGCGTGGTTGTTAACCTTTGCTTTAGCTCTTGGAAAGCTTGTTTGCATTCTTCACTCCATATGAACTTCGTAGTCTTCTTCGTGAGATTAGTCAAAGGCTTTGCTATCTTTGAGAAATCCTTCACGAATCTACGATAATAGCCCGCCAAACCTAAAAAGCTCCGGACCTCCGTCACGGTTTTGGGCGCAGGCCAGTCAATCACTGCTTCGACCTTTGACGGGTCAACGGATACCCCTTCTCGGGTGATGATGTGGCCCAAGAATGCTACCTGGTCCCTCCAGAAATCACACTTTGAGAGTTTGGCATATAGCTGATTCTCTCTCAAAGTTTGCAGTGCTATCCTCAGATGTTCTTCATGCTCAGTTGGTGTCTTGGAGTACACCAGGATGTCGTCAATGAACACCACAATGAACAGATCGAGGTAGGGTCGGAACACACGGTTCATGAGGTCCATAAATACCGCAGGTGCATTGGTGAGGCCAAACGGCATTACGGTGAACTCATAGTGTCCGTACCTCGTTCGAAAGGCCGTCTTCGGGATATCTTTTTCAGAAATCCTCACTTGATGGTACCCGGACCTTAAATCAACTTTGGAAAACGTGCTAGCTCCCCTCAGTTGATCAAAGAGGTCATCAATGCGAGGCAGCATGTATTTGTTCTTGATGGTCGCTTTGTTCAGCTCCCTATAGTCAATGCAGAGTCTCAGACTCCCATCCTTCTTCTTCACAAACAAGACCAGAGCACCCCAAGGTGAGATACTTGGTTTGATGTAGCCTTTCTCCAATAATTCTTCAAGTTGTTCTTTCAGTTCTTGCATCTCCTTCGGTGCCATTCGGTATGGTGCCTTTGAGATGGGTGCGGTGCCTGGCAGAAGGTCGATTGAAAACTCGACTTCCCTCTCCGGTGGCATCCCCGGAATCTCTTCTGGGAATACATCCGGAAACTCATTGACCACTGGGATTTGGTCAATGGTCGGATTGATCCTGCACAAGTAAACTTCATACCCCTTTCGGGCATATCGTTTGACTTGTTGCATGGTTGCTAGCTTCACTCCCGGTTTAGATGTAACTGCTTTGTAGGATACATGTTTTTTATTGGGTCCTCTCAAGACCACTTTCTGCTCGTCGCATAGGATTTTGGCTTCATATTTCCCTAGCCTGTCCATACCCAACACCACGTCGATATCCTCCAGGTCAAATTGGATTAGATCTCCGGGTAGTTCGGTATCGGATATGACTATGGGAACGTTAGAGAAAACACTCCCACATGCTACCACTTGGTTGGAGGCCGTTTTTACGTTAAGACTAAGCTTAGTGGTAGGTTCTAGCTTTGTCCTTTCCACGAATTTTGATGCTATGAAGCTGTGGGACGCACCTGAATCAAACAGCACATAAGCAGGTTTGGAGTTTACAAGAAAGGTACCTGTCACCACATCGTGTGCATTTTCTTGCGCCTGGTTCATGACGTAGATGCGGCCTTGAGTGTTGTTTTGCCCTCCCGGGCCTTGGTTTCGGTTAGCCTCCGCTGGGCGATTACCGGGATTACCACGGTTGATGTTAGCGTGATTATTCCCGCCCCCAGTTTGGTTGTTCCCTTGGTTTTGACCCTGGCCCGGAGGTTTCCGGCACATATATGCCCGATGCCCCATGAGATTACAGTTGTAACATCTCACCGCATTTCCCGCACAATCCTTCCCGGGATGGTTATTTGGGCACAGTTTGCATTTGTAGTGCCGTACCTGAGCGGGCTGATTCCTTCCCTGACCCTGGCCTTGGAAGGTTCTACCGTTTTGGTTGTTTTGTCTTGGCTCTGGGCGGTCAGTTCGGGCCTTCTTGTGCTGCTGTTCTACCTCGGCAATCTTCCGGTCTCTCTTCTGCGCCTCCCTCTCCTTCTGATGTACCATGTAGTACTTC